TATTCATTTGTTATCATTTATGTATGCAAATCAGGCACCATGAGATTATAACTTCCTGTTTAACACAAGGATGACAAAAGTCACCTAGAAGGTTAAAGGGCAGATTAGAGGTGACCCCAGTACCCACGGATGGGACCCTGCAAAGTCCCCTGCCATCTCCAAATGTTTGAAAGTTTTTAAAAACATTTATTTTCTTTTTTAATTATGTGTAGGTGTGTGTAGGTATGTGTCTGTGTGTAGATATGTGCACATGAGTGGAGGTTCCCACAGAGGCTAGAAGACGCTGTCAGATCCCCTGGAGCTAGAGTTACACGTGGTTGTGAGTGGCCTGATTTGGGTGCTAGGAACCAAACTCATGTCTTCTACAAGAGCAGTATATGCTCTTAACCACTAAGCCATCTCTTCAGCCCCTGAAAAGGAGGAAAGAGATTTTTATGTGGCTGCCCTCAACTCAAAGGCGAAGACATCTGATGACACAACCAGTGCTCGTGTCTGCCTTGCTCCGGGGAAGATGCAAGGTAGTTGCCTTGTCCTGCAGTACAGCAAGTCTAAGTTACTGTGCTGGTGGCTGTATTTCCAGCCCTCCTGGGGCATGGTGTGGTTCAGTAAAGCTGGAGTCTCATGGCAGTTGCAGACATGATGTACATTGACTTCCTATTGCTCCCAGCCCCGCTCTGTCTGCAAAAATGAAGTGCAGAGAAAATGAGAGGTTTCCTGTATGCTGTGCCTATTTCAGTGAAGGAAGAAAAAAGCTATACTAGGTTGTATTAATGTGGTAGGCATTTTCTTACATGATATAGTCCACTTTTTACCTCTCGGGAGGAAGAATGAGAAGATGAAAAATCATTGTGCCTTCCTAGGGAAGGAGCATGAAAATCCATCAATAAAAAAAAACAACGGATGTTAAAAATACAGTCACATGGAGTGCTGTATTCCCTCTTGTTTGCACTTAGCTAGGGAGATGCTTTAAATTGTTAAACCAATTCCTTTATGTGGCCCCGTGTTCATCTTCATTCCTTTTCCTTCCCCTCACCTGCCCCTTCTTTTTACTTCTTCCTTTTCCCCCTTACCTTTCCTCTAAATAGAAGAAAAAAAATTGATAAAAGTCAGTGCCAATTCATGGTAGAAATTCACAGCAAACTTGATATAAACAGAACTTTTTCTACTTGATAAAAGGCCTCTCTTTCTTGCTCTCAGCAAGCACAGGACATATAAAACAAATACTTAAAAATAATAACTTTGGGAACTGAACTTGGCAACGCACATTTGTAATTCCAGCACTGTGCAAGTGGATCACAAGTTCAAGGTCATCTTCAGCTGCATAGCGAGTTCCATGCCAGCTTGGACTACACAAAACCTTGTCTCACTGCAGAGGTGTGTCCCTGGACAGGACTCCTATATCACACCTCTCCCACCCATGGCTCAGGGGCCATTGTGGAAGAGGGTGCAGAAAGATTGTAAGAGCCAGAGTTGGTTCATGAACATAGGGAGACAGGCTTTCAGGCTGCTAGAAGCCTGCGCATGTGAACTTGTGGCAATGGTGGTATCTAGCACAGGATCTATGCCAACTCAGACAGGTTTAGACTGGAGCGAGGGAAATGGGTAGCACATTGGCCCTAGTCTGGGAACTATTGGAGACCGATAACTACTGGGTAAGGGAAAGTAGCCTTATCGACGATCTCTAGATAGGCTGACTAGACTCCAGAGGATGAATTTGCACCAAAGGACATCTGGGTACAAATGCTTGACTGGATAGGACTTGACATGTATGACAAAGTACATGAGGTCTGGTGGGGTGGGTGGATGAGGGAGGGTTTAAATTTGATTAATAACTGTTGCATGAAATGTACAAAAGCTCAATAAAAAAAAATTTTAAATCTTGTCTCAAAACCCATAACAACAAAATCACTTCAGAATCAGCTAGTGTACCCACTATCTTGGTTTGTAATCAGTATTATTAGGCAGTCTTAATTAATGTAGTAAAGCGATATAAAGCCTGGGAAAGATGAAAAGGAAGTATTGTTGTCTTACAATATCCACCTTTTTTCTTTCCCCCTTTAAAAATTTTTTTAGTGACAGGCCCTCTTGCCTGTCATGTAGTGGTGGTGGTGGTGTGTGTGCTCGAAACACATTTGATGTCAGGGGTTAGTGTAGACCTTGTCCAGCCTGGTCTGGCTCTGTGGTTTGCTGCAGGTTGTGTTCTGTCATCTTCCTGCAAACATGGAAGCGCCTTTGGCATTACGTTTGCTAGTTCTTAGTAACGCTCTTTAGGTAGAATCTGAAAATATTTTCTCCTAGGACTCTCTTTAGACAATAGTGAAATGTAGCTGGAGACAGACTGAGTAAATGGAAAAGAAAAATCAAATTAGACCAAGAATTGTTTTTAATCTTCTATTCTCACAGAAGCCCTCAAGGACAGCACTATAATTCATACTTCACTCGCATGGGTCAGACATAAAGCCTCTCCACTTAGATCCTGTAACCTGTATGTGTTCAAGTTTGGAGCTTGCATCTGCCTGCATTGCTAGAGCCCAGCACTAAATCACAGCAGTGGATTCTGGTTCAGTTCTTTGTTTGGGAATGTCAGATTATCACCAGAGAGCAGCCTGATGTTGACTTGCTCCTGGGTCATGCCTTAGGCAAGCACTTCTAATTTATGATTTCATGTAGCAGCACTGTGCTAACATGTAGAAGGGCCAACCTTTACACTCTATGTGTAGACTCTATCTTACAGCTGCATAGACAATACCTATCTGAGTGGGCCATGTAAAACAGCAGTCAGCCACCCTTAGAACAGATGACACAGCAGGTGAAGCAGAACTAGATTACCCCACAGCCTGCCAAGCTCACAGCTCCCAGCCCCCCTTTAAAGCAAGACACCCAAGTGGTGTTCACCCTTCTGCCTCCCCATTCTGACACAGAATTTGTGACCCAGCAGCTTTTGCCATGGAAATTAGACTCACTCTCTGGACTCTGAATGCCTGCAGAACTTTCCCAGTCCAAGTCCCCACTCCGGCCCCCACCTCCAGCCCCCAGCTTCCAAGTCCTCCCACTCCCCCCCTCCCGTCCCCCAGCTTCTCTCTCTTGCTGCAGTGCAGTTTATGCCACCAAGGGGAGAGAGATGATTACTCTGGTGTTTCCAGACCCAAGCAGGAGCCATTGAGAAACTCAGGGGGTTCTTAGGAGGTTGTGTGCGCATGCACCCACACATGGACTCAGTATGCTGATAGTGCAGATGTGACGTAAAAAAAGAATTAAAATCCTCCAAGCACGGATGCTCAGGAGCCAGACGCTGGGCAGGGAGCATCCTGAAGGGCATTCCCTCCTGGAAGCAGAAGGCTTTCAGACCTTTCTCTTCACATCCTTTGTAATGCAGTGTCTCTCGATTTGGGAGATTCGATTTGGGAGATTCGTCTGTTGCATCTTAGAACTCAGCCTTCCTAGTGTTCGGAGAACTGTCTGCTGTCTGTTCAAGCTTAACAGAAGCCAGTGAGGTCCCTGGCAGCCTGGATCCATTCTCCATCTTAGAAAAGCAACTGATTGCTTTCAGAAACCATGAAATTACTCTCCATTGCATCATGGAATTGTTTTGAACTTCTTTAAGTTTTGATTTTTTTTTTTCTACTTAAAATGTCACCAAACTTGGGAAAGTTTACTTACGAGGCTTTTGATTTCTGAGGCTAACAAGGGCATCCAATGACATGAGAACTTCCTGGGCAAATTCCAGACTCACGAAGGGCTTTTTCAAGCATCTGCTATGTCAGAATATCCTGCAGGAATGCCTTGAAGAATTAATTGGAAGTTCTGGCTCAGCCCTGGAAACTTTGAGAGCAATGGCTGAAAAGGAAAGATGAACACCTGGGGGGCCCCTCAGGGCGTGACTGAGGTTTGCCACAGCTGGCTGCCTTGGTCTTTTCCATCACGGTTTGGTGTCTTCATGTGCTGTCCAGCATCTCCTACAGGTCAGATGGAGCTTAGGAAGACAAGGGTAACTGTCCTCTTAGTCTTTGTTAAAGCCTTTGCTTTGTCCTCTTTCTCTCTTCCCACAGCTATAGTTTTTGTTTGTGTCATTCTTCTGTCATTCGAAGGTGGAGTCTCTGTCTCACCCCTCAGCCTGTTCTGGAGTAACTTTAGATTTTCTAATGATGTTTTCTGTGGAGGTGACTTTGAAAATTTATGACTACAAATAGTATAGAAACCAATGCCCATGTTACAGTTTTCTCCCTGTACATTTCCTTTTGCCATTAAGCATTTTATGAATTTCACTATCAAATATTGTCGATGTAAAGGTGCTTTCTTAAGATCTCAGAAACAAAACCTTTTTTTTTTTTTTTAAGAGAAATTTTAGCCTAGCAAGTTAGCTCAGCGGGGTTAAGGCACTTGCCACCAAGACTGACAACCTGAGTTTGATCCCTGGGAGCCACAACTTGTGGGAGTTGGTTTTCTCTTTCTATGTATATGTGCACACACACACACACACACAAAAAAAAATACAAGTAAATGTTTAAAAATAGATTTTTAATTTAATAAATTAAAAGGAATCTTTGTACATTAGAAAACTAGTTGCATGAATGAAGAATGGCCCCAGGCAAGGTGGAAGAAGCAGGTTAAAAGAGATGAAACCAGAAACAACAAAACACATGCCACTGCCGCAAGGTCATCAGGTAGAAAATCAGAATTCGCTTCTCTCCACAGCAGTGGGAAGAATGATTTTACTGAGGGGAAGTTTGTGAATCAAAAGCTGGCAGATACAAGGGGATGGGCGATTGGAGTGGATCCTCCTCTCTCCTCTCTGACTGACCTGCCTGCCTCTATCTGTGTCCTCCATCCCATCTCTTTCCCTGGCTCTTCTGCCAGGTCATCTGTGCAGTGAGATGGGCCACTGTTCCTTTCCACAGATCGCCCTGCCACCAGCAGTTCATGGAGTTGGGATATGATAGTGTGCTAGATGCTGTCATGGCCTTGACATTGTCCTCTTGTTTTGTTTTTTAACCCTATAGGAACCTAGTAATAAACGGGTCAAACCTCTTTCCCGGGTCACGTCACTTGCAAACCTCATCCCACCGGTGAAGACCACACCATTGAAGCGCTTCAGCCAAACCCTGCAGGTAAGAGAACAAAAAGCCCATGTTGGGCTCATTCCACCCAGAATTTCTGCTGCTTTCAGGTCAACCAGAATTGCCACTGTAGGAGAGTGTGGTTTCGGGGACCATAAGGTAGAACAACATTTGCGAGTTGCAACCCTAGGTCAGGCAGAGTGGGAGCCATTTCTGCTAGGTTTTTCCTCCCAGTTATATTTCTGAGTCAGGTGCATCCAGATATGTGCCCTTACAGGTTTTGTCCTGAAATATCTCTGGGCTCCTGAGGAACTCAGCACATGGTGTGAGCTGGGTGGTAGCAGAGCCTCCTACCTTTAACCAGGGGTCAGCAAACTATGGAAAAAAAACCCAGCCTGCCGCCTGTTTGCTCAAGGCCCGGGAGCTGAGGATGGGTTTTACTTTCTTAAGTGTTTGGGGCGTGGGGGGTGGGGATGAAGAAATGGTATTTCTTGATATGTGAAAGCCACATAAAATTCTAATCTCACTTTCCATAGTAAAGTTTGGTTTGGAACATAACCATGCCTGTTTGTTTACATATTATCTGTGGCTGCTTTTTGCATAGTGACAGAGTTGACTAGCTGGGACAGAGACCATACTACTCGCAAAGCCCAAAACATGTATTATTTGATAACCTCTGGGTTAGAACAAGACCCTGACATACCTGGTTCCAACTTTAGGTCTCCGTTCAAAGACTGACGACCTTGGGCAGGGGACTTAATATCTCTAGGTCTTGTTTTCTGGTAAATTTGTCACAATGTCACAACTGTGACTTACAGAGGACCACAGCTCCTTTGTAGAATGATTGTAAAGATGTATGAGACAGTAAATTCAAAGGGCCTTTGGTTACTACTGGTTATAGAATAATTTTGGCTATAATAGTAATTTTTGGTTAACAAGTATGTATAGTTACTTTTAAATTTTTTTAATTAAATTTTTATTTGTGTGTGTGTGTGTGCGCGCGCGCATGTGTATGTATGTACACATCACATGTGGAGGCCAGAGGACAGTTTCTGGGAGCTTCAATCTTGTGAGTCCCAGGGATAAAACTCAGGTCATCTGGTACCTATGCCCACAGAACCACCTCACTGGCTCTCTGGCTGTTCTTCAATTCTTTTTTTTTTTTTTTTTTTTTTTTTTTTTTTTGTCTTTTTTGAGACAAGGTCTCCTTGTAACCACAGCTGGCCTGGAACTTGCTATGTAGACCAGGCTGACCTTGAACTCACAGAGACTGGGATCCAAGGCGTGCACCATGCCTGGCTATTCTTCAGTCTTAACCAAACTTGTCTTTTAAAGTGAAAGTTGAGATTTATCCTAAACCTTGGACCCAATTTGGTAATTATAAAAGATACTCATGGGGCTGGAGAGATGGCTCAGCGGTTAAGAACACTGAATGTTCTTGCAGAAGACCTGGGTTCAAATCCCAGCACCCACATGGCAGCTAAAACTGTCTATAACTCCAGTTCTAGGGGATCCAACGCCCTCTTCTGACCTCCACGGGCAGTGCATGACATGGATGACCTTCATACATGCAGGCAATACACGCATACACATAAAATAAAAATAATAAATAAAATGTTTAGAAAAGATACTCTTTGAGACTGAATCCCACTGAAGTCATACCATGAGAAGTCTCATCTAGCATAGCTGGGCAATACTTTTGAGTTAGCCATTTCTCGCCTGTCCTGAATACTTTTGCCTTGTAACTTTTTATCTCTGCTTTGAGATAGATACAGTTTTCTCCTTGGTTCATGTCTTCTCAAAGGAAAGACTTCAACCAAAGGCACAGATAGTTTATGCTAAAGTTTATGTAGCAAAGCAAAATATGCACCAGAGAGAGGTTAGAATGGGTTTCCCCAAAGACATGCCCCATGCTATGACAACCCATGACCTGTGCATGTGTAGAGAGGTTCTCTTGCCTCTGTTTGCCTCCCTGCTTCCTGCTGTTGGACAACTACACCACTACCCTGTAATGCCATCCCCTTCCTCTGCTGGGCCCAAAGCTACCTGTCCCTCTGTTAACTCTGCTGTTTCTCATGAATGAACGAATGCTCATCATCCAGTTAGCTATAAGTTTGGCTCTGTCTCTCAGTGCTTGGGCCTGTGGACCCCTGATTATCCTCTGGTCTCTTTTGTGGAAGAACAGGAGAAATAAGATAGGGTTTTGGGGGGGAGCCAGATGAAGCCTGTGAAGGATGTGTTTACCTGCTTCCCCTCTGATCACTTTTTCAGCCTTCTGCACAAATTGACCACAGGCTTTCCCTGGACAACGCATTATCACCTGAGTCCTAAACATCTAGTCCTTTGCAAATTCTGCTTTTTTAAGTCTTTAGACATTTGAGCCTTTCCTCCCCATCCTAGTGGCTGTGATTCCAGTTCATCGTGTACTCTTTCCTCCCTGAATGATGGGAGCCCTACACCGATGGCCATCTCTTCCTATCACTTCTCCTAGGATAGTCCATCCTGTACCAGAATGGCCCAACCTCATTCCACAAGCATCGAAGGAGCCCTCACCCCGCACCAGGCTCGTCTTTCTGTCCTCATGTTGCTTCGTTAAGGCTGGAGTTGCTTTCTGGTAGATGAATGGCAGTGCTTGGCCTATGTCCCTTGGCAGTAATGAGTTAGACTTGAGCCAGCTGTCACCCACAAAGGTCTCCTTTCCAATTGTCTTAGCACATGGGCCTTTGCTTGCTGCCATTGCCTGGCTTGTCGGCTTTGAGTTGCTGTTTCTGAGAAGAACACCGACCTCCCCCACTGCGGCCTGGCCCTGATTACATGAGAAGAGTCTCCACGTCATACTTCAGCTTTTTTTTGTTGGACTTCCCAGGCACTCTATTTTATTTTGTTCTGTTCCTGGGGATCCTGCAAGGAAACACTGCAAAACACATTTGATGGTCTTAGAAGTTTGCATTGACCCAGAGAACTGAGAAAGAAAGAAATTAAGCCATGTCTGAACTCTAACAGACGGAGACCAAGGATGACAAAGCCAGACCCAAGGAAGGGTCTGACCTGTGGAAATGGCTTCCAGTGCTTCGAAGGCTTTTTTTTTTTTTTGTCTTTTTGAGACAGGGTCTCCCTGTAGCCCCCAAGCTGTCCTGAAACTGACCATGTAAACCAGGCTGGCCTTGAACTCACAGAGATCCACCTGCCTCTGCCTCTACCTCCCAAGTGCTGGGATTAAAGGCGTGTGCCACCACATCTGGCCCTCTACTGACTTTTTTGAACTATCATGCTAAAGATCTAACTCTGGATTATATGTATGGAACAGAAACAACCTGACAGAAAAGTTACTCATAATGGCTAGGTACATACACAGAACTTGAGAAATGTGTTTGTGTTTGGAAGGAAGAGATTGGAGAATAGGAATATGCCCCCACAGTTGTATTAGTATGCAGCATGTTTACAGGACAATCTGTGAGCTTGGTGAATGCCACCACTGTGGGGCATGCAGGGCAAGCTCCACAGCATTATTTTCCAGCCTGGCATCCTGCTTCCTACATGGCATTTCTAATAGAGGAGGAACAGAACAAGGCCTCCTGGCACTTAGTGTGCGCACATGTTAAATTTATTCCTTTTGTATTTCAAAAATTATCTGAGCATGAGATAGATTAGCTGTTCTCCCACCCCCACCCTTCCACCATGTACATCCTAGAGATTGAACTCGGGTCATCAGACTTAACAGCAAGTACCTTTACCCTGTGAGCCATCTCATTGGCTCCCTTTTTGTATTATTTTATTGGGGGGCAGGGTCTCACCAAGTTGCTCAGGTGGGCCTTGACTCCCTCTGTAGCCTAAGCAGTCCTTGAACTTTTGATTCCCCTGCCTCAGCCCCCTGAGGGATTGGGATTCTAGGCCTGTGCCACCAAGCTCAGCTACCTTAGTTTTCTGACTCACTGTTCCTTTTTCCCTGGCTCCTGGCGCTTCAGAGATGTTTGGATCCTTTTGGATATCCAGTTATGTCTCTCAGGTTAGGTTCCTTTAATTATAGGACAAGCAGTGACTTAGGTCCAAACATGATGCTTCCATCAATACTGGAGCACTTAGCAACACTTCCTCTGGCCCCTTGTGAGACGACAGCCTCAGAAGACACTAGGGAGCTCTGGGCTGGCAGCCTCCTCCAAAAAGATTGAAAGCTCGTTCACAAATGTGAGTGATCCTGCAGCAAGACAGGGCAGGATTTGTTCTCCCTTGCCTTCCCGCACCAGTATGGGCTGGGGCCTTGGGCCTTAGCACAAAGGCGGCGTTTGTGGACACTGGAGAGCATGGTGCTCTGTCTGTTCCTCACCAGGAAGGTTTAGCACAGGGCGGCTGGTAAAGCACAGGTGTCTGGATCCCTCTAGACCTATAAATCCCCTCCCAGCCTGCTGAGAGGAAAACCCGACCCAGCTCTGTAAGGAGCCGGTGTGTGCATCTCTCTTATGGAGCAGGGAATGCCAGCTCCCATGGGCCAGCAGCACGCCAAGCCTTGCTCTCCATGTGTGTGACCACTGGACACATCCGAGCAAAATCCAGCAAGGACGTAGTGCTGTGTTCATTGCCCAGCAGTGTTAACCCTTCATTCTCTTTGGACACGAACATCTTTCTTTTTCATTGTAAAAATGTATACTCATTATGGAAAAATCCAGAAGGGGAGGAAAGGAACATGTATAGCTTTCCACTCCAAAACAACCCCTGTTCATACTGAAATGATTTCTTTCCAGAGTTATTCTGGATACAAGTACATACTTAATATACCCTGAGTTTAGTTCAATGTCACTTAGTCTGTCCAGCCTCAGCTTGTATGATCAGCTCACTTTGGGGTAAAAACAGATGATAGGTGCCTCTGTCCATCTTGATCTCACATAGGAGTGCTTCACCATTCATTGAAGTTAGTATTTATGGGTTTTTTTCTCCCTCATACTTTTACATTGCAGCCCCTTCTTCCTTTATTGTTATTATCAGTTGAGACAGGGTCTCAAGTAGCCTTGGTCTCATGTAGTCTCAAGTTGACCTTGAATTTACTATGGAGCCAA